ACAGAGAGAGGCTGAATATTCCCCTCACCAACACAGCACATAGCCGGAGTCACTCAATACCAGCAGACCACCAGGACTTGTAATGTTCCCCCTTTCTGGGCAAAAAAAATGTGTATAAAGTTATTTTGTTCTTTTAATAAATAAAAATATTTGCTTCCTTCTCACTCCCCCCCAACACAAACAATATAGACCTTATCCCAGAGGTGTAACTAGAATCCACTGGGCCCGGTGCAAAAATTGCCCTGGGGTCCCCCTCCCATGTGTCTCATTTTCATGCCCAGGCCCCCCCATGTGCCTCATTCCCTCTGCCCCACAGTCCCTCCATGTGTCCCAATCCCTCTCCCCCCTCAGCCCATCCACATGTCCCATAGGCTCCTCCTCCTCCAGCCCCTTAATGTATCCCATTCCCTCTTCCCTTAGCCCCTCCATGTTTCTCATCCCCTCCTTGTGTCTCATCCCCTCTAGCTCTCTCCCCTTCCTGTGTCCTATACCCTCCCTCTCTCCCCTCCAGGCCCGGACTGGCCATCGGGCAACTGCCTGGTGGGCCGCGGTGGCAGTGGGGCCGAGGCCGGCAGGGGAGGTCCCAGGATCTCCCCTGCCGGTCTATGCAGGGCCGGCACTATCCGAGCGCCGGCCCCGCTCTTTGCCATGGAGCTCTCCCTCACCGGCCCATTTAAATAGACCTGCAGCTGGGGAGGGAGGGAGAGGACCCGGTGGAGCTCTAACTTGCAGCTCTGCCGGGTTCCTCTCGCGAGATCGGGAGCGTTGCCATGCAGGGGCGTACCTAGAGCATTTGGCACCCGGGGCGGATCCTGTGCTTGGCACACCCCCCCAAAAAACCTGTAAAATGTTGGGGTTTTATTTTCTTTTTATTTTACAATTTGTAAACTTTGCAAAGGCAGCTGTCAACCCCCTCCTACAAAACCCTTGTCCTGCCCTGCCCCTCCTACAAAACCTCTGTCCTGCCCTTCTACCGTCCTGTACTGCCCCATCTACAAAACCCCGCCCAGCCCCCTTCACAAATCCCCTGCTTATCCCCATATAAGACTCCTGTCCCAATACAAAACCCCCACCCCCTTCTACAAAATCCCTGCAGCCCCACACACACATTTACAGACAGACAGTCACACACAGTCACAGGCAGACAGTCACACATACACATTTCCTCCGTGCGGCCAGTTTATCAGCTGTTTGCTTGAGTGAGCTGTACTGGCCGCACGGCACACTAACTACCATGGGACACTGTGCGGCCACAGCTCACACAGCCCCCTCCAGCCAGGGCCGGTACAAGGATTTTTGCAGCCCTAGGCAAAAGTAAAGTTTGCCGCCCCCCATGTGACATGACAATGCCCCAACCATATGATTTGCCATGTTAACTAACGCCAGTGCTGCAGTGCCGCCGTGTTTACATTAAAAGGCCTGCAGGGACGGGCTATAGACACCAGAACCACTACATTAAGCTGAAGTGGTTCTGGGGACTATAGTGTTTCTTTAATGTGAGGTAAATTAGAGCTTAGTGCCACGAATAATATACTAGATTGCCTACTTACAACCAGATGAGGATGATGATGGGCTCTAGCTGCAGTCTGGCTCACTGGTCTGGTGCAGAACAAGCTCTCTGGAAGCGGTTTGTAACTGTGGTCACAAAATCAATGTTCTGGGAGAACTGGAAGCAGCTCCATTTTTGGGGTCCTTTACACAGATCAAGGTCTGGGTCCCAGGGTCCACCTTCATGTTCCACCAATGAGTTTTGTTCACCGGGGTGGAGTGTGTAGGGGATGTCCTGATATGTGTGTAAGGAATGCTTTGTGTGAAATTGTGTTTGTATGTGTAAGGGCTGCAAGGTGTGTTTCTGTGTATGTATGGGATGCATTGAATGTGTGTAATGGGTGCATTGAGTGTGTGTAATGAATGCATTGTGTGTTTCTGTGTGTGTAAGGGATGCATTGTGTGTAACGGTTGCATTGCTTGTGTATGTGTGTCTTTCTGTGTGCAAGGGGTGCATTGTGTGTATGTGATGAATGTCAATCTCTCCTCCTGCTCCAATTTCCTTCTCACCCCCCCCTTATTTCTCTTTCTCACCCCACCCCCCTTATTTCTC